ACAAGAACATTGCTTTTCTTTAGCTCTGTGAAGCTAAATTATAAAGCTTTTTTTCCTTCTACCTCCACTATGTAGCTTCTCAGAAAACTACCTGGCAAGTAATTCCAGGAAGAACTTTGGAAAAATACTTAAATCTAATTATTAAAAAACCTGAATGGCAAAAAATGGTTTCTAAGTAGTTTGGTCATTTTTCTTAAATGTCACTAATATACACATGGTAAACTGAAAAACAATCTTAATCCTCACTTTGGCTGAGTTACGTATGTTAAGCCTCATTCCTACGGTTCAATCCAGATAGACAGCCTGCTCTATCAGCATTTACAGCCATCAGCGGCACTTTGCAGATGTGTATTATCCACTTACAATTACCCCACGTTGGGAACGTCATAAAAGTACACACTAATCTTTGGGAAAAAGAACATTTTGCATGGTACAGGTGTAGTGCTTGGCGCAACCTTCATTTGTTTATACTTGAGGAAATAGTACTATGGTGTTGGGATAACACTGATTTGTGTTGGAAATAGAATAAATTACCTGAATTATTCTATCAGCTGTTGTATTATTACTTAGTATTTTGAAAGCATCCATGCATAGCAGACAAAGCTGGGAGGCTGTGCCTTCTGTGAGGTACCTCTTTCAAATATGGGACCTGGCACAGGACTCTGCAAGGCTGGTTATGCCCTGCCAACGCCTAAGATGCAGAGAGGACAAGATGGGAGCCCAGTGTGCAACTCTGAGATGCAAAACATGAGACTGGACAGATCAGCTTTCCTCTCCCTCCAGCAGGCCCCCATGTTCTGTGTGTGCCAGTACCACTCAGAGGACGGCACTACGCTAGGGAACACCTCATATTTAAATACCAGCCAGGGTAGAGATTTCTTAGCACCAGGAAGGCCCCGAGCCTACTCTACAGAAATGTGACTAACACAAATAAGATCACTCAGTGCCAAAGCTCCCCTTTTGACTTCCTTAATTTACTGCAGTTAATATTTAGGCAAAACTAAGCACTACATTCTGTCTCTCTTGCAGACATTCTGACTAGTCAGCTTCTCTTCCAGTGTTATAATAAGTCAAGTACGCTTTAATCACCACGGACAATTCTGACACTGCTGTTTCTCAATCTAGCGATACCTAAATATAGTTCAACCTCAACCAGCTAGGCCACACTTAGATTTCTGGTTAGCCAAAACAAAGCTTTATTCGTGAGCCATGTTTACTAATGAAAATGCCTTGATTACCCAAATATATTTCTCCATCCCTCATGACGTTTAGATAATGATGCTGGCTTTATTATCTCTTACAGACTAGTTATTCAACAGCGAGATATGCTCCCAATAAACAGCTGGCATTACTGCAAACAATTGTCTTAAATGAAATTAAAGTACACATTGGGAAACATAAAAATATCACGGTGAGTGAAACCGTGTTATTAATGTTTGGCTTTCCATCAATTTTATCAAGAAAATGCCCTAGAGAACATAAGAAGTTACTGGAAGTCATTCAGCCGCATGACACGCCGTTTCAGCAGAAGACAGGAACCGCAGCCGCAGGCTCCCGGCTCAGAGCGGAAAGCCTCGGTGGAGAACTGGTGACCTCTGCAGGTTCCTCACATCGCCCCACATGCTCATCATACAAGATGCAAGGTGTAGTTTGGGTTGCTTTCATCTTTGAGAAATTAAAATACAGAAAATTAAATGTCTATTTGATGATGACACAGCAACAGAAAATAAGCTAGAAAACATGGGCACGTGTTAATTTAAGAAATAAACGTTCATCTTTGAGAAGCCAGAAAACAATACTTCAAAGGACAAAAACTTCAAAGCGCTCTATAACTTCAAAGCACTGCACCAACATTAATAAACACTTAGGACATGTCTCTGAGGTAGAAAAAAATTTCCTTTTTTAATGCTTGTGTAAACAGGGCACAGAGATTAAGTGATTTGCCCAAGGACACAAGTTAGTAGCAAAACTGAGGTTGCATGTCAGAAATAACTGGCTCAAGCTTCCCAGCTACAGCTGGGTTAAAACAGTTCCTTAGACAGAGGCCAAAATAGAAACCTTTCCTATCAATAGCATCACCTGCTCTTTTTAAGGCCTGCTCTAAACTCTACTGTGCTGTTTTCAGCTGAATATCCTCTCACAAAGCCAGTGTCGAGGATACATAGATCTATCTGAATTAAGGTAATCTTATATATGAGTCTTACTTCTGCATTTAACAACGATATTAGGGCTTAAGTGGTCTATGGGAAGATTTTCAGTATTTCTATGTCATGACAATCTACTCACTACAGGCTTCTTAACAACACACCGAATTAAAATACAATCAGCACACCTACAGCATGAAGTTTCTCTGATGACACTACTGAAGCTGAACCTGCACTAGTACCAATCAGAATTTACTACGTCCGTCTAGAGTAAAACATAACATTTCCTCAATGCACACAAGCTGATCCGCTATATATCCCTGCTATATACCCATACTGCTGAAAACAAAGATCTCTAAGTGCTATCTGACACAGAAGACAGAAGCAAAACCCATCATTTTTTTCCCAAATAAACTAATAAGGAACAGTCCTTGGATACGTGGAGCTAAAGAAGCCAGCAGAAATAAAAGTGGCCTGTGAAGTACTTAGCAAGAAAAAAAAAAAATCACCTTATGCTCCTCTTCTGTAAAAGACTGATATGTCAAATAAATAGAGTTAGTAAGTTAAAAAGATATAAACAAAAAGCATGCTTCAAATAGCCAGTTCTGAATCTCTTGTCAACTGCTTGGGTTTTTAATCTTTTTGTGAAGTCATTGTTGGAAGAAAGGCTGAATTCTAAAAGTAGTTAAAATACTAATTAAAAAATAAGGGCTTTTAAAACTTAATTTCTAAAAATGAATCCATACAACAAGCTTCCAAAATTTTCTTGTCAAACGTGATTCTTGTTTTTAGACAGAATTTCCTCATAAGTCACATACTTATAACAAAGAACTTTTTTTACAAAATGCATAATTATATTTTGAAGACTGTGATTTGCATTTAGTAACAAATAATTTGCCGCATATTATGTTCCCAAAATAAAGTCACACAGTTGCTCTGAAAGAGACACTGCCTGCATATATTGTTCAAATATTCCTCCTCAAGGCCAGTTAGGAGTACTGCACCCTTTCATTTGTACTGTTTACTAGTAAAAGTTCTGTATTCAGAACACTAGGAAATTACTGCCATACTAATAGACTCTTATAAGAATATCACAATTTCTGTTTTTAAAATTTTCAGGAGTTCCAAAAATTCTTGTGCTGCTTATATTAACGATACTGCTCAGCACTCACATAACATTTTCCATTGCCAGAACTCAAAACTTCCCTGTGAAGGTAATCAAGTGTTGCGCGCTCTGTTTTGCACGGGAGCAATAAAAATGATGACATAGATATCCCATTTCACCAAGCTTTAAGTAAGGACTATTAATTTACCCAAGACACGGTTAGATCCTCAGTACTTTGTTAAGTCAAATCTGAAGACTAAATAATTTGCAGATCACAGACTGAGTCGTTAGCAGATTTGGGAACACAATTCAGACCTCCTGACTCCCTACAATAAACCATAGTTTTCCAGGTTATGCGTTAACAATCATTAACTAAATGACAAAGGTTTTGCTGTTCTTGGTGTAGTGCCCTTCTTTGCATTTCAGAGGAATTATTAGGTTCTTAAATTGGCTGTCAAATTTGCTGACTTGGTAACTGGCTGGTTTTCAAAATATATATTAAAACCTTGCTTTTCCCGGCTATTTCTTCAATAAATCTTTTTTTTTTTAATATAATAAGCTTTGCGATCTTGCTTATAAAACTAAAGTCAACAGAAAAAAATTAAAAATCTTATCAGTCACATTGTACATACTATTAAAGAAAATACAGGCAAAGGCAGCAAGACCCAACAGAAAGGGCACTGAACTAAAAACAGATGGCAAAATTTCCCATTTGCTTAAGTAAGGTCAAGCTTTCAGCTTTTCAACTCATTTTACTTCTACAGAACTCTGTAATCTCAATCTCTCTTTCAACTGGTTTCAAAATGTGTAGATGATTATTATTTTATTTCCTTGTCTCCATAAGGAATTTTAACACCAATAAGTTAAAATTAATTGCAGCTAGATTCAAAGGTCCTACACCCATACTGAAGACTGCACATATTCACAGATTTGGAGCTCTATTTAATTACACTTTAAATGTTGCATACTGAATCACACACCTTGATCCACCTCATGTAAAAGAATTAAGTTCCAGACAGACTC